ACAGCGGTGGGTTGGTCCTTTCCCCGCAAATCCTCCTCACCTACCGATTTGTGGAAGTCGAAGCCACACACCACAATCTAGATGGGAGAGCGTTACAAAGGCAGCCGGTGGCACAGGCCAGGACGAGGAAGCAGGCGTGAATTCTGTAGGGGAACGTTGCATTGAAAATAAAAAATTTCTACGCACACGCAAGATCTACCCATGGAGATGCATAGCTACGAGAGGGGGAGAGCATCTTCATACCCTTGAAAATCGCTAAGCGAAAGCATTTATCAACGCGGTTGATGTAGACGTACACCTTCACGATCCGTCCCGGTTAAGTACCGAATGTACGGCACCTCCGCTTCAGCACACGTTCAGCTCGATGACGTCCTCGCCTTCTTGATTCAGCAAGAGGCGCGAAGTAGTAGATGAGTTCCGGGATCACGACGGCATGGTGACGGTGGTGGTGAAGAACAATCTCCGTAGGGCTTCGCCAAGCACACCGGGAACTATGATGGAGGATAAACTAGAGGGGGCGGGGTTGCCGGCACATGGCTTGGTGAATCTTGATGTGTTCCGGGTGCTAGCCCTGACCCTCTATTTATATATATGTTGAGCCCTGGGGTCGTTTCTTGGAGAAAGAGCCTCCTCAAAGTTGGTTTGGCATGCAAGGCAAGAGTCCTTCTGATACTTCGGGACCATACACCAAGATCCTTGGTGTCTCGCCCCAGACGCCAGGGTCCCTGGCGTCTGGCCCCTGGCCTTGGCAAAACTCCTTTTGCACCTTCCTAAAGCCTTGTGGGCTTTACCCCTTGGACCAAATAAAGTGTTCTCGTACCCAAACATTTCGGAAAACATCTAAAACCCCTTCCGGTGAATTCCGGAACCCTTTCAGAGACCAAACACTATTATCCCATATATCAATCTTTACCTCCAAACTATTTCGGAGCTCCTCGTCATGTCCGTGATCTTATCCGAAACTCCGAACAACATTCGGCAACATACATAACTCATATAATACTATATCGTCAACGAACGTTAAGCATGCAGACCCTTCGAGTTCGAGAATGATGTAGACACGACTGTGACGCTTCTCTGGTCAATAACCAATAGCGGGACCTGGATGTCCATATTGGTTCCTACATATTCCATGAAGATCTTTATCGGTCAAACCTTTATGACAACATACGTAGTTCCCTTTGTCTGTCGGTATGTTACTTGTCCGAGATTCGATCGTCGGTATCTCCATACCTAGTTTAGTCTCGTTGCTGGAAAGTCTCTTTACTCGTTCTGTAATACATCATCCTGTAACTAACTCCTTAGTCACTTTCCTTGCAAGCTTCTTGTGATGATGTATTACCGAGAGGGCCCCAGAGATACATCTTCGTCATACTAAGTGAAAAATCCCAGTTTTGATCCAGGTCAACTCAACATACACCTCCGGGGATACCTGTAGAGCACCTTTATGATCACCCAGTTATGTTGTGACGTTTGATGGCACACAAGGCATTCCTCCGGAGTCCGGAAGTTGCATGATCTCATGGTCGAAGAAACATGTATTTGACATTAACAAAGCAGTAGCAATAAACTGAACGATCATATGCTATGCTAACGAATGGGTCTTGTCCATCACATCATTCTCCTAAGAATGTGATCCCGTTATCAAATGAAAACTCATCTCGATGGTTAGGAAACCTTAACCATCTTTTGATCAACGAGCTAGTCTAGTAGAGTCTCACTAGGGACACGGTATTTGTTTATGTATCCACACATGTATTTAAGTTTTCGGTCAATACAATTCTACATGAATAATAAACCTTTATCATGAATAAGGAAATATAATAATGACAACTTTATTATTGCATCTAGGGCATATCTCCATCAAATTCATGTCTTACTGCCTTAGCACCTTCTAGGGTTCGAATGTTTTGTGTCCAGTTAGAGTTGGACATGAATTAGTTTTAGGCAAAATCTTCTTAGTTTGTCTAGTCATCGTCGCCCACCTTGCGCCTAATATATAATTCGTACTCTAAAAGAACAATTTCAATGTTATGCAAGAGATTGCATCCATAATTCAAACATCATGTTTTATGAAAAGGATGGAATTGTACTTGGACTATAAGGATAACTATCTGACAAAGATAGAACAACCACGTGATTTGGAGATCATTTCTTTCCTAGATTGATCTGCTTCCCTAAAGATGGAAAATGATACTCACATCAAGAGATAGCTAGCTCACTATGATACAACAAGAAGATGATATCACTAAACTGGTTTACGATCGGTCGAGTACCATGTGCTAGAACAGTTTGACATGAGGATAAGATCCTAGTGAGAGGAACTACATACTCTGTGAGTCTCCAGGCGGCCGTTGTCCCTCGTATGATTAGAAAGCATAGACGTCACTCAGGCGACCTCCATAATGCCCAAACCACGATGCAGTTGCCCGCCTCCACGCCACAGTCCCCATGAAGTGCATGTACCTCTTACGGTTGATCACCGTGGATTCACTGTGGCGGAACTTGTTCGGCTTCAGGTCTGACGACAGGCGGCATGGCTCTTTCTCCTGGTGTCCTACTCACCTACCGGTGGTGGAGTAGGGGACTTGCCAACATGGATGGCAGCGTGGGCTGGGAAGAGCAATCAGACATGGTGCAAGTTCACGTCCGACTGGCTTAGCACCTTCTAGGTCTTGAATGTTTCGTAGCTCGACCCATGTAGAGTTCAAATGTAATATGTGTCCCGTGAGAATTGGACACAGATAACTTAGGCAAAAACTTCTTCGGTGGTTTGCTCATCGCCACCGCCTCCCTTGTAGGCACTATATGTTTAAAAGTGGTAATTCAACTCTTCAAGGTTGCAACCAGGTGAAAAAATACAATGTTATAAGAAATATTTAAAACAATTGAAAGTAATGTAATTCACACACAAGAAAATATTGTACGTTTTCATCATTGAAAAAAAAGAGTCGTGCGGCCTATGTTAAAACATAAATTTTTTGCTCCGAATTTGCTCTTGTTTTGTGTCCTGTTAGAGTTCGGCAATAATTAGTTTTAGGCTAAAGCTTCTCTAGTAGTTTGTCTGGTCGTTGTGTCCCGCCTTGCTTCCAATGTATAACTACTACTCTGAAGAACAATTTCAATGTTGTACAAGAGATTGCATCCATAATCAAAACATCATGTTTTCTGAAAAAATAAATGGAATTGCACTTGGACCATAAGGAGCTGACTAAGATACAACAACCACATGATTTGGAGATCATTTATTTCCTACATTGGTCTGCTTCCCTAAAGATGGAAAATGGTATTCACACAAAGATATAGCTAGCTCACTACGATACAACAAGAAGATGAGATCACTAAACTGGTTTGCGGTCGGTCGAGTACCATGTGCTAAATAGTTTGACATGTAGCGCGGTGAGTAGTTCAATTCACCCCAGCCTGCCTCCCTTCCTCCACGCCTCACACCGCTCTGCGACCCCCGTCCGACTCCCTCGACCCTGTCTCGTAGTTCCCGCCGTGGCCAAATACAAGCATTCAAGGTAAATTTCGCGTTGCAGCGGTTCGCCAAGCCGAGCGATGGGTCTGTGGGAGCGCATTGTTGAGTCGTTTTGCGTTTGAGTTGTGGTTGCCCAGGTGACTTCGTGATTCGCCAAGTAGCGATGGTTGATGGATTGATTCTGAAGTTCGGGTTGGAAGAGGGAGGCGTGGTTTCTAGGGTTTTGATGGTTTGCTCATGCTAGATCAAGTAGTCGGGGCTCTGTTGATTGGGTTGATTGCTCAACTCGAAAGCATAATTGCTTGCCATTGCCCCCTTCAGCCTTGGGAAAGCAAAGGAATAGATTTCAACCATAGTCTCTATGGGATGTGCTCTTCAAATTTTGAGATGGCTTCATGTACAGATTATGCGGAAGTGGTCACTGTTTGGTAGCAAATTACAGAAAACTGTAGGATCGAAACTGGCGGTACAACACTAATAGTGCTTGCCAGGTGTGTGCTTGTGTAAATGATTGTAATTCAGAACAAGTCGCCTGTCTTGGCAGCAGTAGCTAGATCTGATTTTTAACACATATTCATTGCATTCATGTGCTTAGCGCCTTCTATAGTTTGAATGTTTTGTAGCTCGACTTATGTAAGGTTCAAATGTTTTGTGTCCCATCAGAGTTGGACACAAATACGTACGCAAACTTCTCCAATAGTTTGTCTAGTCGTCGCCGATAAGAAATGTTTGAAACACTTGAAAAATAATGTAATTCACACTCAAGAAAATATTGTATGTTTTCATCATTGATAAAAAATGAGTTGTGCGGCCTATGTTAAAAACATAAATTTTGTGCTTCGACATTGCTCTTGAATACATCTTTTTCTTTTGCTCAACACATCGCCGTCCTCGAGAACAAAGATAATTATAGAAGTCTGTGAAATAATCACCCTCACTGCATTCAGTTCTTGCATATGGTTGTTGCGGAAACAAAATAAGGGACACTTCCATCAAAATATAGTTCAATGTTCAAATATAACTGGCGAACAATACAGTAAACAAAAATTAGGCATTTCTGCAACGGGAGACCATTGACCAAGGGCCATGTCTCTGAATGGAAATCTCCTGGTACATATGTATCAAACACCACCAACAACAATAGCTTAGCCTGCCTCAATTACCACCTTATTTCGCTTCCATGATCAAATGTTAGCGGACCAGGAACTGCCACAAGAGAAGGCAGCAATTTGCTCTGCCAACCTGGGCAGCCAGCCCTCCCAAACATGCCCATCTCCACTTGGTCGGAACACGCTACACCAAACACGACGAGCCCACCGGTGGATGGACCATTAGTCCTTAGCATACTATTTTACAGCTAGAAGCTTTCTTGGATTTCTACAAACTGCTCGCCAACGATTTAATAGGGCAGAAACCTGGCTAAAAACAAGCAGGTTGTCCAGACGAAGCCACTTCATTCAGTCGTTTGCATGCTAATTTAGTTTAGAAAAATCTCAGCAACAAACAGAACCACGCCAGGTTATGGGCTCATCGGATCCCCAGAAGAAAAGGTGTGCATGTGTGTGTCCTTTCCATTTGGTTCTCTCGATGACTCCATGCCATTTGATCCTGAGATGAGGAATTACGAATAAGATAAAGCAGAGAGAGGGCAGTTATCGCAATGGAATACACAAGACTATGGCAGAATTTGTTACCGAATATAGCACCAATAGAGGGCCTTGTTAGCGATGAGCTCCTTTGCATATCTGCAAACGTTTATAGATTTAGAAACAACAAAGGATTATAAAAAGTATGTATGTCACTTAGATACTGGTCATTTTTCATGAAGTGATGAAGCTACCTAATAGCATGTTTATGCTATGAAAAACTGTCATTTATCAGTTTACAGAACATACTGATTATGCTATGAGAGAAATGCCAATAACACTAGAAAAGAAATCCATACTTGCAATCCGACCATATTTCACAACATATAAAATTATGTCAAAGACACAAACCTGCATGTTTTAATCCTTTCACAGCATCAAAGTTTTTGTATGTATATCCCACAAAGCTGAGATCTTTTGAATTCAGCTTCGCCTGTACAATTGTACCAAAAAATATACATAAGAACTCTGGGGAGTGCAAACCAAAACATAGTTGTGCTTCCATAAGATACACAAAAAATTAACAATAAGGGCAGGTAATTTGAACTTTGAACTACTACAACAAAGTTATAAATACCAGTAAGCAGTAGATATACAACTCATGAGAAACCTGGGTCTATCACAGATATATGCATAGTGGAACGGCCTAATGGTTAAACAGGTCTTGAAACACACAAGTGACTTGTGTTTGATACTCAAATGAAGTGTTTTGTACTTCTATTACACAGAAATAAAGAAAGATATGGCTAATCCTATCTCAAACATATCTTGCTCTATCAAACAGTGAGCCTGACATAATTACAATTTGATGGAATGTAACTCAAGGAAACAATTCATCGTTGTGCATAGTAAATTAAGATGAAAATGCCAATGCAAACATTACAAATGCTATTACGCTAGTTTATGAACCTCAAAGTGCGTACCTTTCTTGATGGCCCAGAACCTGTTCTTGCTGGAGGGCTATTATCCATCTGCAGTGCAGAAACAAGCATTAAGTTGTAGGGATGTAATTCACAGGGTGAAAACAAAACAGGAAAATAAAATAAACAGCATTTCAATGCACAGAGAACATGAAATTCATCCAAACATTGCCAAAAAAATTCAAACAACAGTTTAGTTGCTTGAATTTATGAAAAGCTTGCTTGGATTTACAGAAGGTTGCTTGGATTCATTAAAGTTTGCTTGGATTGAAAGGGATGCTTAGATTTAAGAAGAGTATCTTGAGAGGCAATCATGTAATCTTTCTACGACTATAATTTTACAATGAACAATATTCCTCAAATAAATTGCAATTAATGATTTTTCCAAGATTAATTGCAATTAATGCAACCAATGTTGTTTCCAAATCGTGGTGATGTGATGGATACATCATTGGAGCAGTGTGGGACGTTGGATGTAGATGGTTGAATGGTCGGGGTCGTTTGGATTCATCAAACTCGTGCTTGTATAAGTAGTAGTAGATCTTATTCAAATTACAGTATATGAATACCCCTTATACATCTGAAATAATATCTACCAGAGAAAACCTGATATACACAAATGTAAGTATTCCTAACAGATGCAAGTTGTAATACAAATAAAGAGTGATAATATAAAATCAAATAATGCTGGTGGATTATAAATAAATGTCATCAATCGCAGAATTCCAAAGGAAATACTTACTCCCTCCGTCCCAAAATAAGTGTCTCAACCTTAGTACAACTTTGTACTAAAGTTAGTACAAAGTTGAGACGCTTATTTTGGGATGGAGGGAGTATATTCGATGGAGAAGGCAAAGTTTGAATTGCACAGGCAGGAGAGGGGAGGACTGTCAATAAATGGATTACACACTTACCTCATCAAACTTCATGAAATTCTGTGTATCCAATTCATCATTTACTTGAGGCTTAAATGCTGCTTCCATTTCATAAAGTTTATCCCATGCAACTCCACGGAACCAAGGATGGGCCTAATAATGAAGAAATGATATGTTGAACACAGGTAGACTAACAAAACAAGAATTATATTTAACTAGTTATTTCTTTTGTGTGCCAGTGGGTACTACCTTTATTTGATCAGCCCCTGCACCACCAATCCTGTGGTCAACATCACATAATAACCGGCAGATTAGATCTCTTGCCTCAGGAGACAGCCTTGAATCATCTGGAAATTTCACATGGTTTCTCCAGTGCACAATCTAGCAAAAGGCAGAAATTTGGCAGAGTGAGGATAAAATGTCTTCGGGTGGTCGTATATGAAAAATGTTAACCACATTAATAGAACAAATGCAGGTCCAAGTCCAACTACACTTGATTATGCTCATAGAAGGCAATCTAGAAATACACATCATAGCAGAAACATCATAAAGAAATAACTTTAAAATAATTATGTCTTCGTAAACTTACTGGAAGTAAAACATGATCAAGAAGTGGGTACTTTGTCACTACCAAATCAAAAAAAAAAATATAACAATAGTGATATCATAAGCTTTGGTAGAGCAAGCTTATAAGCAATACAGCTACAGCATACTTTCTTCAGGTTCTTGCAGCTTGAACTTTAAATTAAACTAAAAATATATCAGTTGTTCAGTATTAGTGCAATCTAATTTCGATGATAAGCCTAAACTGAAGATAATTCATACAGAACATTCAATGAACTACTGATGTGTTACAAATAAAAAGGTGAGCCCGACCAATGAGTGGTAATTTGAATTGGACACTAAGCTAAATGTGCCGAGTAAACCAAACCTTTCTGCATGTGGTTATTGGATCATCGGAATAAAATGGTGGATACCCAACAAGCATCTCATACATTATTGCACCCAAAGACCACCTATGGATCAAAACAAAATATAATGAGACATTTATGAAACTAAAGAGTAAATAGAACAAAAGGTGTCTGAACATGCTGTACCAATCGCATTCCATTCCATATCCTTTCTTTAGCAGAACTTCTGGAGCAATATAGTCTGGGGTTCCAACAGTTGAGAATGCCTGAATATCAGTATACATTTGTAGTAAGAAAGACTGCCACAGAAACATCGAGCATGCACACGCTTGTTTTTTTTTTCCAACAAGGGTGTAGAAGCGATACCATGAAAGCAAAAGAATTATACAGGACCAATGAGATGATCGATATGACGATATGTTAACTATAAAGCAGACATACCAGTTTTCTTCTGTTCATCTGCCAGTGCTGAAGTTGTTCATGTTGACTTCTCCACCTTCTGCCATTTGCAGTTTCAGAGAGTGAACTGTCGACATCCATTGACTCCTTCAGGTTGTCATCGCCCATGGGTTCATCTTCGCTCAAGGTTGAGAGCTTTGAACAATCAATTGGTTTGCACAGCCCAAAATCCGACAACTTCATGTGACCATTCTTGTCTAGAAGCAGATTATCAGGCTTGATATCTCTGCATATGATAGCAAACCAAATATATATATATCAGAAAGATGATAGAGTTAAACTAAATTAGATGTCTTTAAAATCAAATATTTGTAACCTGTGGATGTAGTTGTGCTTATGAATGGACTCAATGGCAAGGATGGTCTCAGCAATGTAGAATCGAGCCACGGGTTCAGTTAAGGTATCTTCCCTCATGAGAAGGGTCATGATATCACCGCCAGGGAGGTACTCCATAATAAGGTAAAGATACTCAGTATCTTGGAAAGAATAGTATAGCTTCACAGTGCAGTGACTAGCAACTTCAGCCATCAAGTTTCTTTCTGCTCTAACATGCTCCACCTAACAGACATGTTATAGAAATTGTAAATCCAACAAAGATAGTGATACAAATGTACAGATATTTTGAAGATATCATCACATGCCCATGACAAATAAACTAGATAAGAGAAAAATGAGTGGAACATTTGCGGGCTTCACACAAAAAAAGTTAGGGATAGAACAAAACAGGATTATCATATACACTAGCCTTTGGTTTCTAGCAAGTTCAAGTTTGAATTCCTTGGAGACTGAAAAAAAGGTTACCCATTTAGCTGGCCTTCTTTCAGAAACTCAAAAGAAGGCCAGCTAAATGGTAAACACACAAGCTTCTACATATTAATACATATAAATATGTATTAGCATGCATTGCAAATTCGATTTGTACTTCTGTTTTCTTTTCGACATAACAGTGACAAAAGCTGCAGTGAAAAGCAACTATATGATATGGAAAAGAAATCCGCACTGCACTGCATATTTTGAGAAAAAATAAAACAACCCTTGCAAAAGCGCCACATACACTCGTAGACGCAACAAGAGTTTGTTGAAGAAAATTTTGACAGATAGCGAAGCACCATAGTAAATATCAATACTTACAACCATCAAGTACATTCAACATAAAAATTGGTCAATAGAACGAGCAACTACGAAGCAGAAAACATGAAATATCCAGAAATAGGGGATATCTTACTTGACCCCTGATAACCATATCAGACTTCTTCAGTTTTTTCATTGCATATATGTTGCCAGAGGTCTTCTCCCGGCACAGTCGAACCTATTGTAATAATAAATTATAAACAGCAAGAAGAAGGTCAGTAAAGGATTTAAAGCACAAATGAGTTTATGCTCCAACAAACAGTTGTCACTTCCCCTAGTTTAAATCTTTTTGGACATACAGAACTACTTGAAGGTAAATGCATCACCAACAACAACAAACTTATAGTACCATGGTCTAGAGCCATGCCAAGTTCTTTGGCAAAAACACATGTGTCATTTAGTAGTGACGCCACAGATGGAGGTGTGTGCAGAAAAACAGAAACTAGATGTGCAAGAGCGAACCTCTCCAAAAGCGCCTCTCCCAATAATGGTGAGCAGCTCAAAGTCATCCACGCAGATTTTGTGCCTTTTAAGTCTCATGTACTCAGTTTCCTTTCTCTCCAGGTCTTTTATTAAATTGATTTGCTGCTCCCTGGGAACTTCAGAAGTAGCTAGCTGCCGCTCCAGTCTAAAACGCCTGCAATACATCGGATTTTGTTATGTGATGCTGGGAACCGACAAAAATCAAACAAAATTATCATCTGGGGAGGGGCAAATCTGCTTAAAATGGAATTGTAATGCCAAAAGATGAGCAAGCTGGATAATCAATATGACGGAAGTCACACACCAGTAGAAAGCTTTCACAGTTGAAACTTATGCAGGTAAACTTCAAAATTCAAATATTTAAAATTGATTGATGTCTCAACAAATGCAATCCCCAGCTTGAGTTAATACAAGACCAGGCTGGTGATTACATAACCCCTGTGTGCTTTAATAAAAGATTTAACACATAACAGGACCACAAATGAAAAACAAATGCCCTGTTACATAGATGGCCTGAACTTAATGTACTGCATTAAAGAAAGTATATGGCATTAAGTCATCAACTACTCTCATCTAATGTTCTGCATTGTGCTTATCGTGTTGTTTTACTGCCAACATATACGGAAACAAGGCTGTTTGACCTTTGTACAATAATGTATGCTAAAATAGAAAATCATGTTGTTGATTTCTCACCACCAGTTTTGTACATTTCTCCTGCAAGAAAATCTTTAAAACAGCAACTATAAATCCCGTAACCCAACTAAGCAGGGCAGTAGTCGGTACTATGAACTTAGCTCAACAGTTTCCAGCGTGAAAATAAAACATAACTCGCCGTGTCAGCAATTTGACCAACAGCATGGTGCACCTGAGCAGAAACAAAGCATTCCAAACACCTAACAGAATCAAATGGTGTCCACACCAAAAACATGTCTGACAAAAGGGAAACAGGGTTTTGATCCTAGGCTCCTAGCTCTAACAAATGCATAATAAACTGAAATGGTTATTATGTACATACCTGACTCCAAGTAAGCTAAATTAGTACTAGCATACTCAATACATCGCATGTATACACTACGTCATCGACTACGTTTCCACGTTGACAGTTCAAAACCATCACGTAATATACCCTAATTAAAGGCAGACATTTGACGGCTTGTATACAATCTAATTATACACACAAGAACAAAATACCACATAAGACAAATACCAACGCAATCTCAAAACATACATGATAGTATGCCATCAATGCATCGTCATCAGAGAACCATCACAACAGTAACACTCCAAACCCACTATCCAACTAAGCAAGCCAGCAGCTAGTACGGTGAGCTCAGCTTAACGGCTTTTCATGCCAAAAATATAACAGTATAATAACTGCTACATACCCCATGATTGGAACCATTCTTACTTGGTGCATTGAGCAGAATCTGAGATTTCAAAGCACGTACAGAGTCAAGTGCTGCTCACCCCAACTTATCCACTAGAGCTAAATCCGGCCACTGCAGCCCCAAATTGTGTGCCAAGCTTGACTAATTCCAGGATCTCATTGTCTAAAAATAATAATTCAAAAATCTAAAGCAACATCTGACGTCATACCACACTAGAATTCCTCAACACCATGGCTGGTGATTACATACCCACTGTGTGCCATTGCATTAAAAAAAGGTATAGGACATCAACTTCTTTCATCTAATGTTCTGCATTGTGTTTCATCACGTTATTTTACTTCCAACATATAGGGAAACAAGACTGTTTGACGGTTTGACCTTTGTAAAACAACATGCTGATGCAGAAAAATCATGTCGTGTTCCCTCACGTCAATTTTGTGCATTTATCCTGCAAGAAAATCTTTACAACAGCAAGACACTAAATTTTATAGCCCAACTAAGCAGGGAGTAGTCAGTACTATGAACCCTTTTTTTTTGCGGGTGAGTCAGTACTATGAACTTAGCTCAACAGTTTGCAGCGGAAAAAACAGAACCATACGTGTCAGCAATTTGACCAACAGCATGGTGCACTGAGAAGAAACGAAGCATTCCAAACAACTAGCAGAATCAAATGTTGTCCACACCTAAAACATGTCTGATGAAAGGGAAGCAGGGTTCTTTGATCCTAGCTCTAACAAACTCATGCTAAACTGAAATGGCTATTATGTAGTACATATCTGGCTTCAAGTAAGCTAAATTAGACAATTAGTACTAGCATAATCAATACATGGCATGTATGCGCTACGTCATCGACCACGTGTCCACCACCCATTCATAAAAGGATCACATGAATCTGGAACAGTACATTGATGGTACAAAACCGTCACATAATAAAGGCAACCATTTGTTTGTTGGCTTGCAAACTAATAAAAACCGACATACTGTACACTCTAATTATACACGCAAGAACAAAATATCACATACAACAAAATAGCGACGCAACCTCGAAACAAACATACACGGTAGTAGCATCCATGCATCGTCATCATCCGAGAACCATCGCAACAGTAATATTCCAAACCCGCTATCCAACTAAGCAAGGCAGTTGCTAGTATGATGAGCTCAGCTTAGCGGCTTTTCGCGCCAAAAGTGGAACAATGCAGTAACTGCACCATATGCAGTGATTAGAACCATTTATGCTCGGTGCATTGAGCAGAATATGAGGATCCGAAGCACCTATAGAACCAAGGACTCTCCTCATCCCAACTTATCCATCAGAGCTAAATCAGGCCACTGCGACCCCAAATTGCGTGCCAAGCTCGACTAATTCAAGAATCTCATTGTCTAAAAATAACAATTCGAGGATCTAAAGCAACATTTGAGGTCATACCACGCTAGAAATCCTCAATGACCATGGCTAGTACAGCTACCGCTCCTTACGCCACGCTTCCTCCGAGAACATTTTGGTACCCACCCCAAAATTCACCCCAAATCTAGCAGCTACAAACCCCTAGCTCCAGAACCCCGAGCTCGAGCCGCTCCAACCGAGCTCAAACCCCTCGATCGAGCTCCGGGGCGCGAGATCTACCGGAGACGAACGTAGCGGCGGCGGCTAAAATTGGAGGCGGGAAGGCGGGGGGGCGGGATCGGATCGGTACCTCTCCTTGCGCTCCTGGATGTTCTTCATGTGGGAGCGGTAGTGGTTCTCGATGAACTTCTTGGCGGCGGCGACGCGCTCCATGGTGAGGGTGGACGCCTCCCCCTCCCCCTCCCCCTCCTCCGCCACGGCGGCGAGCGGCTCGGCGACGGCCGCGGCCGCCGGGGGCGCGTCCGACATCTCGCTCTCCATCCCCGCCCGCGACGACCAACCAGCCTCCCCGCTGGCTGCGGCTGCTGCTGCTGCTGCTGCCTACACCTCTCGCTGTCCCCGGGGGCCCTTTTGCTTCCCTTTTGTGCCCTGGGTCTCTCTCGGGTCGGCGGCCTCCGCCTGTCGCTGTGCGCGCCGGGTATATATACGGCCGTCGTCGACCGCGCCGGGCCGGCTCGGGGCTGATTGAGCAGCGGGGGATTGACGGGGCGGGTTTGGTGTGATGGCGGAGGCTTTAACTCCGTCGCACGGACAGCTGCGCATGGGAACAGCTCTTTTCTTTTCTTTTTCTTTTTGCCATTTTTGTGTTTTGTCTCCGCTTGTTGGTTAGCTCTACTCTGTCGTGCCGCATGCTGTACACAACTAGAGTACTACCGTTTGGATCGTAAATACCCCTGTAAAATGATACACGCCTCCCGCCGTCGTTTTTCTCCGGGCGAAAAATAAGCTGCGGCCGGTAATATACACTTGTAAATTAAATCCGGATGTATCTACTTACACCGATTCCAAGCACGCCCTAAGTATATCTCTGCGTACGTAGCTGTATACACGTTGGTACCACGTAGAAAAGGGAAGGGCTTAGCTGGCTCTTGTCCAGGTACTTTCCCCTTGAGTTTTCAGATGGATGGATGGATGGATAAACGCCGCTGACCATCTTCCATTTCCAAGTTTTCTTTTCTACTATCTCCTTCCCCGCTTCTTTTGTTTTCAGCACGCATCACTGCTTAGAAAGTTAAAAAAAATCCTTTCGATTCATATTAATTGTTGTTGATTTAGGAGTACAACAAAAAATAATAGTACTAGCACTAGCAGGTGTCCATGGGTTGAATTACTGCGACCTTTAGTTGAGATGCTAGCTGCTATGATGATCTCATGATGCACTCGCAAAAAAAAAAATATGATGTTCTCATGATGGATGGACGCCTTGAGCGCGTGAATAATGGTGAAATCGTCTTCGGAGAAAATAAAAGTACTGAAATCCGGCCCGATATGCATACCGAGACATCGACCTATCGGGGACTGGCAAGAGTAGTAGTAGAAGCTCCATGCGTGTCGGGGTCCTAGTCAGGTGGACGCGACAAGCCCCAGGCAGGCAGGGTCCGGGTCAGATCAGCCCGCGCCACGCGGCGTGTACTTACGGGTCAGCCGTGAGAAGGTGACCAGCCGGGGTCACTGTTGAATTGGACGGAGGTGAGCAGCTTGTGGATCATCATGGCTTCACACGCTTTTGTACGTACGTTACGGATCGTACGGGCAGCCTCGCCATCCAACTCTCAAGGCCAAGGCCGTTGCGTTGCAGCAGTCAAGCCAAGCCAAGTTACAGATCGAGTGTTGAATGTTGACCAAGCACGGTGAACTCGTCGTGGGCTGCGACGCGATGCATGGCATTTGCCAGTTGCCACACAAATTGCAGTACTACTAGTAATTTATTTTATGTATTTTCTTCGATAAAATTATTAACACATATGGCCACTTGGACAAGTCCGACGTACGCCAATCGGCCAACGTCGTCTCCGTCCAGCTAGTCGCATCTGCAGCTACAGCCACCGGGGTCTCCTCGTCGATCAACGACGATGCCTAAGCTCGCACGCGATGACAGGACAGCAAAGCGTACTTGCGCCAGTAATCCGCTGGCCTAGTTGACGAAGAAAACTACGGCATCATTATACTAAACTAAATAAATATCTCGATGGATCGATCGATCGATCTGCGAGTGATGCGTGGCAAGGTGGCATGTTGGGGCGCGGCGGCAAAATAATGGGGGCCTCCAGCCTGGTAGGCACAAATGCAAATGCATGCACATACGCAGGGGGCGGATCGACATCTGACCGATCTGAACATACGCGGCCGCATGCCCAGCTCGGATGCCAGGCTAGGCCGCCACGCACACCCCATTTCTTTATCTACGCTGCCAGATCTCGGCGTGCACTGGCCTGGCCTCCTCTCCTCTCTTGGATTCCACTTCCACCCATCCGACCCCCAACGTGCTTAAACTATGCTGCTGCCTGCTGCCTGCTGCCCGGTGTACATGTGTGGTATTCTTCCCTTGTCAGTCTTGTCTGGACATGGTGGTGTATCATCACTGGCAACGTACCGCTGATGCCAACGCTTGCTGGTTGGGATCGGAGGGAAGGAAGTTACGGAGTCGCGGTCGTCGCGCTCGGCCTGCGTCGCTGGTGTTTACTTGCTGGTGAACCCTGACAGTAACGGATTAGCTATAGCTTAGCTGTTTGCCACTCCGTTTGATCGGCGCGGTGCGTACGCTTCAGCCCATATAAATGGGGCGGGAAAGAGATGGTGATGACCAAATTCAGCCGTCCTCCGATCTGATACCCCCTTGGTTCCTTTTTTTTTCGGCAGAAAACTTGTATTACTCATTCATGGTATCATTACAATCTGCTTGTGCCAGCTCCAAAACCTCACAAGGGCCAAAACCGAGCCAAGTAACAGTTCTACGATCAACTCTAGCTAACCTAGCCAAACAATCACTAGGTTTATTCTGATTACGACTTACATGAGTAACACAAGTTTCTCTAAGACTGCGAAGGTACTTAATTTCCTTCACCAAGGAAGTATAGACAGATCTATCCTCTTCCATCTCTTGTATCATGGAGACAGCAATGAGCGAGTCCAGTTCTATTATAATGGGGGCATCACTCCTCTCAATAGCCAACGACAATCCTTCCATGCATCCACTTAGTTCCGCTTCCAAGGCATCCCGACACGAGAACAATTGTCTACACGCCGAGAAAATGATGGTACCATTTTCATTGCATAAGATCATCCCAGATCCTGTTGTACCGTCCACATCGAAGGAATCGTTAGTATTCAACTTAATCCATCCTTGAGCAGGGCGGCTCCACTTCAAGGTTTTTGCAGCAGGTGTTGTACTCGGCATCCTCTTCTCGTAAGATAGACTCACTTTCCCCTTTCGAGGATCTGCCGATGCATTTGATCGGATCGCAATAAGTGAGTCCAAGTAACTCTATAGAAATTTGCATGATGCTTCAGCAGGAGGGGCAAGTTTTTGATGCACTACTTCATTCCAAATATGCCAACTTCTCCAGAATGTGAAAAGCACCATGCATCGTTGCGCTTCGTCCAAAGTTTCCAGTAACTGAAACATCCACTCCTTGCCTGTGTACATAATCGATTCAATTGTCGGCAGCCTGCAAACGTTGGCCATGGTGTCGTACAGATGCCTAGCAAGCGGGCAGCACAGCACCGGATGGAAGTTACCCTCAGTTTCCATCGCACAAATTGGGCAAAGCGAAGAAGTTTCAAGGCCAATCTTGTGCTTATTCTGCCATGTGGGTAAGCTGTTTGATGCCAATCGCCATGCAAAATTCCGGGCAGCAGGGGGAACTTTTGAAGACTAGATTAGTTTCCATAACAATTTGTTCCCATCCGGGTTTGTACTACTGGCTTCAGAATTGCCTCTATGAACCTCCTCAAACGCCATATCATATGCGCTTTTGACAGAAAATCGCCCATGGCGGCCCGGGCCCCAAGCTAAAACATCCTCCTCCTGCCTCTAGGAGGCTCTCAACTTCATAATCTCCGTTACATCAGTTGTAGCAAAGAATTTTGCAACCTGGTCATACTTCCATGAGTCGTTTGCATTTAGCACATCAGTCACAAAGCAGATTCGACATCTACCTTGTGGTGATATCGGCTTGTAAGAGAACGACTGTGGTATCCAATTGTCGCGTCAAATTCTTATACTTCTCCCATTACCAACCCTCCATAGAATTCCTTTCTTCAACAGGTCAAGACCATGACTAATAGCTTGCCAAGTAGATGAGGCATTGCATGTGAAGACAATGTCTTCCAATTTCCCATTCGATAATACTTCACTTTCAACACTCTAGCACATAAGATGGTTGGTCTAGTAAGTAGTCTCCATCCTTGACGTGATAACAAAGCCTTGCTAAAAAGGCGAAGGTCTCGAAAGCCCACCCCTCCTTTTGACTTCAGTTGGAGGAGATGATCCCAACATTTCCAATGCACCTTTCTCTTGCCTTCCGCAGAACCCCAGTAGAAGTTTCTGATCATCCTAGTTAGATCATCACATAATGAGTATGGAAATTTAAATACCCCCATAACATATGTAGGCAGAGAGAGGGCAACTGACTTGATCAAAGTCTCCCTACCTGGTTGTGCAAGATGTCCATCCCCCACTGGATCAATCTCTTTGTCAAGCTAGTTTGCAAGTTTTGAAAACGGCCCTTCGACATACGTCCCTCCGGAGTTGGGAGACCCAGGTACCTCTCCTCAAAAAATGTACTTGTCACCTGCAACATAGAACGAACCTGACTCTGCACTGAATCCGGGCATGCTGAGCCAAAGAAGAGCGAGCATTTGTTAAAATTTAGGTTCTGGCCCGTAGCAGTGTTGTACAAGTCCAAAGCTTGTCTCACCTCCAATGCTTGCTCATGTGATGCTTTGAAGAACAGGAGAGTATCATCTGCAAAAAGTAGATGAGAAATCCCGGGTGCTCTCCTACAGATTCTAACTGGAGTTATTGCATTTGATACAACTCGTTGCCTTAAAATCGAAGAAAGACCATCTGCCACAAACAGAAATAGGAATGGTGATAATGGGTCACCTTGCCGAAGCCCACGCGACGGTGCAAATGAATCCAAAAGGGTCCCATTTAGTTTAACAGAGTATCTAACCGATGTGACACATGACATTATCCAGTCCACCCATCGATCTAAGAAGCCCATTTTTTGCATCACTCGCTTCAAGAAAAACCAGTCCACCCTATCATAGGATTTTGAGAGATCAAGCTTATACGCACGAAACTCTTTGAGGGGTCCTTTTCTTGCTTGATGTAATGGATGCACTCAAATGCCACCAAGGCATTGTTAGTTAGCATCCTCCCTGGTATGAAGGCACTCTGCTCCGGACAAATATTACCATCCAACAATGGTCGCAACCGGTTTACCAAACACTTGGAGATCACCTTATAGATTACA